GAGATTTTACAGTCGTAACGAAGGCTGACCAGAAAGAAGAGCAGGCGAAGACAAAAAAACCGAAGGAAGAAGAAAGTCCCAATTCCAGCAGCGAGAGCCATGGTGCCCTTTTCTTCTGTCCCAATGAAGGGTATACGAAAGTGTGCCAGCAGTATACCGATTTGGAAAACCATATTTTTTACGGAAAATGTGATTTAACTCCAGAGAAGCTAACCCTTATGGATAAAGCCAAAGTGGCCTACAATACCAAGCTAACCGGAGCTGCAGGTGTCTACCCCAGGATTCAAAGCTCTACATCAGTGACGTATTCCATTGAATTTGACCCTCTTCCTGCTGGCTGGGCTTTAAAAGTAGGAAAAAAGTCGCGTTTTAATGAAAAGCATAAAAGTTCTTGGAAGGTAAATTCAGAATCGGCCAAGAAAGTGGACACAAGGTGAATCCTGAAATCGTTGTTTTTATAAGTCCGACTAGAGAAAACTTAGTGAACTTGCAAAAGAAAATGGTCACACAATGCCAAAGACTATAATTTTTTGCAACACCATCACAGATGTTGCAACTGTTGTAACAGATTACTACTTGACTTGGGAAATAATGCATACTTACCCAGGTCATCCAAAAAACCTAGTGACTGCCTGGTTGGCATTTTTCATTCAAATTAATGGGAAAGATGCAAGGAGAGTGTCATGGAAGAATTGAAAAGCAATGGTAAGAAACAGATAATTGCAGCTACAAATGCCCTGAGCATGGGTGTGAATTTCCCTGACATTCGTTATGTTGTAAACTGGGGCCCTGCTAGAAATATACTTGATCACCATCAAGAAGCTGGGCGTGCTGGAAGACATAATGTCACATCAGATGTTGTAATTATTTTTCATGGACAGCAGCTTTCACAATGTGAAGATGATGTTAAGTCATTTCTTAGGGCATCGGGATGTCTGAGGGTTGCAAGCTACAAAGCTTTTGATGAAAGTATCAAGCCACTTGAACAAGGACATGACTGCTGTACCAACTGCAGGGAATCTTGTCTGTGTCAAGGAGACACGTGCTGCATCCAAACTGCAAATTGAAAAAGATTTTTCGCAGTCATATGACAGTGTTCTAACATTTACAAGGCCTGTATCAGAGGAGGATAAAATAGATCTATATAATGCTCTGAAGGAGGTGCAGTGATCAGAAAGAGGCAGGGAACTGCTGTTCAGCAAGGCTTCTTGTCGTGGGTTTTCTGATGAGTTAATTTAGGACATTGTTGATAACAGCTGTACAATCTTCTCTTGAAGATGTCATGAACTCACCAGTATATTCAATGAAGCATGCCCTACAAATACTAGAGTCTACCGGTTGGCAAAGATTATAAGGGAACCTGAAACGCTCCTCCATTGATTGTAAAATTTACTCGTCGTTCAGGTGAGAGCTCAACTTAAAAATTGCTCTACACGAGACCTTGGGTTTGCTGACGAAAAMAAAATCTTTATAAACGAATGCTTGACGGATCAAAATAAAAAACTTTTCAGCGATTGTCTTAAATTTAAGAAGGAAAGGAAATGGTCATCCATCTTGACATCAAATGGAAAAGTTTTAGTCTTGATTCATTTAATAACCATTTTCTTTACTCTACCCAGCTTTTCACCTACGCAGTTACCTTCAGGGTATCAAGTAGAAAATATCATTATAACTACAAGAAACACCAGCTAAAGCTAAAGTCATTAAAACAGTCATTGTGCGCATTATATATGCTATTTTAAAGTGAGAAGGGATAAATCAATCACCTATTCTATAAAAACAACTAAAGGTGGCTTCAAATAGTTATTTATTCAAAACACACTTCCCATTTTCATTTAGCAAATTGGTCAACTTTTCCTGATCTGATCTAAATGTCTTATCCACCAAATACCAAGCATAGATATACAATTGGCATTGCTATGGCAACATAAAACAAAGATAACTGAAATACGTTTTTCTAAAATATTCACATTCAGGTAAAGTTAATCATTTAATGATTAGAGTGTTGGATGAGAGCAATTTTGAATCAATCGCACAAATTTTCTGAGATCTTGTATTATGATGCTCAAAAATAAAGCAGAAAAAAATCCTTGACATATGCAAAATAACTACAAAGGTTTTCTAAAGCATTTATTTATCTGCCTTAGCTTGCAAGTGGCTCTTATGAAAGCTTTTTCTTGTCAAGGTGCTTTTAGTTGACTGATTTAAATTATTCTGATCTGATTCTGATTTTCTGTGTTGCAGGTTGCAAAACTTTGTGATTACAATTTGTGATTATTGAATATTTCAATGTTTGAGTGTTTAGTCATTTAGTCGATGGCTATCTAATAATAGCCAAAATCTCCTACCCCTCTACCCAACTATGAAATGTACCAACAAAATGGCTCAACTTGTCTTGCAACATTCTCGCGACGAAAGTTGTAGAGCAAATATTGCTCGTTTTACCACCTCACGTGCAACAAAATTCCCTTGTTGCAAAAAGTAGAGGGTGTTTCTACTTAATGAACATACACAAAACATTTTCTAATTTATTATTTATTTGATTGAAAAAGATCGATACCGAACGGGAATTATAATGGTGAGGTGATGATGAAGTTTTCTTCTTCAGAGAGGAAGAGAGGAATTGCGGTTATTACAGAGGATTTTCCCAAGAGAAAAAGAGCGAAGGCCTCATTTTTCAGAGTGGTAATCATAGGAAATGCGAATAACAAAACAAATCTGTTAGGCTTTTAGATGACCGCAAACATTTTTGGGTGGGATTATTCACCCCCTTAACTTCGTTTGGTAAGGCACCCATGGTATCACTTCTCATATATCCAAGATTCCATATTATTTCATATTTAGCTGATCCATTGTAAATGCAAAGAGGAATAGATACAGCAAATTAGTTTGGTGCCAATTCAGTCCTTTGAAGTTGCGATACACATAAACGGTATAAAGCTGAGTTTCAGACATGCCGCGTATCACCAACTCTCTCCCCTGGTATCTGTGTACATGGCCCCGATTGCAATTTCTGATATCCCACTTTGTGTAACTGTGTCATTTTTTTACTATCTGTTTGTAGTGTAGCCCACGAAGAAGAGAGGATCACTGGTTCAGGTCATTGTTACTGTGGGCAAAAAAAGAAGACAAGAGAACACTCATGTGTGAACGTGGAGGGCAAAGCCCCATAAAAATGCCCTTGCTTGAAAGCCAATAGAAAATGTGGTGCAAACTGCAAATGCCAAGAATGTGGGAACAAAACTCCACCTTCGGATATGTTTTGTAGATGCGGTGAAAGTAAAAAGAACCATAAAGATACGACTATTTTATCGTGTGTTGATCAGCCCGGAAAACGGAAAACCAAGTGCCTGTGTTTCTCAAACAGAATGGCGTGCAATGTAAAATGCAAATGTTACAATTGTGAAAATGAGTTTGGAAGCAGACATGTTTCCTATAATCTACCCGAGAAGAAAAGGAAACCGAAATGCACATCAAGTCCTGTTTCGCTGAAATGAAAACGAGAAGATTATCTCGTTGAATCGGGTGCCCAAGTAGAGCAAGGTAGTTGGACTCTTTTAGAAAGCTGCATTTTGGAGACATGTGAATCATTTCTGCTGGCAACGAGTGTTTTGCCTAATAAGAAAAACCTACACGATTTGTACTGTTACGTAGTCGAAAGCAACATTGCTAAGGAACTGAAAATTGCAGCTAATAAAAAATCACTGAAACAAGTCCTTGGAAAATTGGACCATAATGACATAAAACATGAAGCCCTAAAAAAAATTGCTCTTGGTATACATTCTTTGAATTGATCTCCTTAAATGTTAAATGTAGTAAATGGATATGTGAATTTGCCAATATTATACTGTTTGTGAAATGATTCTAATTACGACATTACAGCGAAATTGTGAAATTGCAATTATTGAAGCCACGACAAAGGAACTTATAGCTTCACGTATTGCTGAATGTCTAAAGATTGCTCCAGGATGTTATTGTCAAGTTGCTGTTCATAATAGTTAATTTTTTTCTAAATTTTATAATTTGTTTTTATCATTMACTTAGGCTTATGTATGCCTTACAAGATGTGAAATCAAATCAAATATGTTACAATTAATGATGACTGGTGTAACACAGAAGGATAGAACTAATAGACGACTTGCACTAAGAGGTCACGTGATCAAATCGGCCATTGTGGCTGGCATTTTACAGGATTTTAGCTATGCGAGAATGTAAAAAAAGATGGCGGATTCGGGTAGTTTTTTGGGTGATAAAAGGTAAGTTAGCGCAATAAAAAATAACTATAAAAATCCCCTTTTCTCGCAAGAAATATATTCTTAGTAGATGTCTAAAGTAGATTTGTGCTATTAACTCGTCAAAACGTCAAAAATATGGTATTTTTTGCAATAGAATGATTTTCATATGACCGTGAAAGAAAATAGACCATTTAGTTTGTAATAGTTGATAAAGAACAAAAGAAAATCATTGGTTTAGAGTCTACTACTAACTATTAGTTTGCCTATTCTTTCACGATCATATGAAAATCACTCTAGGATGTGAAGACCTACGAAGTGCTTAGTATGGTTTTTCTGGCTTCATGACCTCAAAGCATACAATATTTTTCCATTTCCTGGCGAATTAATAGCAAAATTATACTTAAAATATCTATCAAAAGTATATTTCTTGCAAGAAAAATGCAGTTTTCAAGAATGAAGTTAAAATATACTTGAAATATTTTGACAAGAAGTCGTTGTTTTGAGGTCATGAAGCCGGCAAAACAAGACTAAACACTTCGTAGGTATTCACATTGTAGCGCAAAATATACCATATTTTTTCTCTTTTTTGCGAGTTAATAGCAAAAATCTACTTTAGATATCTACTAAGAATATATTTCTTGAAAAAAAAGGGGATTTTTATAGTTATTTAGTGCGCTAACTTACCTTTTGTCATCCAAAAAACTACCGAATCCGCCATCTTTTTTTACATTCTCGCATAGCTAAAATCCAGTAGAATGCCAGCCACAATGGCCGATTTAATCACGTGACCTCTTAGTGCAAGTCGTCTATTAACGGCCAAAAAAAAAACAAACAAACAAACAAAACTTTTTTACGGCAGGGGGTGGGGGCTCCGTCCATATTCCAGTGGTAGTACTAGTACATCTGAGAATGATGCTGAGAATAACTCTGATAGGATACTAAATAGTAAAATTACCCAGGAGGAAATCAAAACGGCTATAAATAATTTGATGAACAATAAATCACCAGGAAAAGATAATATACTGAATGAGCTCATAAAAGCCTGAAAAGATTTAATTGTTCTTCCTCTTGAAAAGTTACTTAATCTAATTCTTGAATCAGGAGAATTTCCTAAAGAATGGAGTTTCGGGTTCATAGTTCCAATTTTTAAACAAGGAGATAAACATGTAGCCGACAACTACAGAGGTTTAACATTATTATCATCTCTGGGCAAACTTTTTACATACGTACTAAATAAACGACTCGTAGAATTCGTCGAAAGTAATAACATATTACAACTTGAACAAGATGGCTTCAGGTCGAACTACAATACAACAGATAATATCTTTTTTCTAAAATCTTTAGTTGGCAAATATGTAAAAAGTAAAAAGAAAAAAAACCCGGCAACTTACTAAACACCTGATAATCAGTATTGTACAGATAAAAGCAGATATTGTATAAATTCAATTAACCTTTCAATTTGGGACAGTTTTTTGATTGGTTACCCCCCAAAAAACGCAAGGCATTATGGGGATATGAAAGTCGAGAATTAGGGATTTCCGACATAGTGGAATTTGAACCACAAGCAAATCAGTTATTCCCTTGGCTTCATTCAACCAAACCGTTTAATAAGTTTTGACGTTAGTCCATCGTAGGAATAAAAACGGTAATTAGAAAAAAGTAGAGTAATAAGAAATGGAGTAAAGCAAGGCCAAAAGGCCTGTCCCGGGTCAGTTTATTGTTAAAAGGTAGCTAGCTACTTATGACTTGTTTGATATAATAGCAGTCTTCCGTATAAGGTACTGATCAAAGAAGACACTGACCAAATGCTTCTTTAGGTATTAGGTGTGTAA